ATGTGTGTGTGTGTGTGTGTGTGTGTGTGTGTGTGTGTGTGTGTGTATATATATTCTTAAGTTTTCGCGGGTACTTATATGTATGGCATTCGGCTTTGCTCGGGTATTTTCCCATGTCATAGTAGTTGTGCTTTTAAAGTTGTAGCGATGTTTCAGCAGAATCTCATCTGCCATCTGCCAGAAGCCTGATGATGGCAGGTGAGATTCTGCTGAAACGTTGCATATATGGCATTCAACTTTATATATATAGAATTATGTTAAGATGAAATGTCAGACTAAGGATTTTGAAAATAATAATAATTTGGGAATAACAAGCTAAGAGAGCACCAAGGACCTCTCATGAAGAAAAAGCAGGACAGCCACAATTTGCAATGTAGAACAGAAATACAAATGCTCAAAGGGCTGCCATGATCACCAGAGATTTACACTTGGGAGAAAACTTGGATTGGGGTTTGTTTCTGTAGACAGCCATAAGAAATTGCAGCAACTCCATATAGAGAAGATGCCTTCAAATCTTACGTAATAAGAACTTGATAGCTCTTGATTTTGGACTTTTTCTGCTTTTTATATTATTTATTCAAGATGGATATTTGTTTATTGTACAGTAAGAAGTACACATGAAATACAGATGTTTGGTTCAGTTCAATGATCCTTCTTTGGATGAATTTAGAGTTGGTTAAAAAAAAGAAGAAGAAAATAGATGGTAAAATGTATAAATATTCTAGATAAATGATAGCCCAATCTGTAAATTAAGCATATTAGGAGGAAAATATAAACAATATGTATTACTGTTTTCCAAAAGCACGTTTATTGAGCAATTTAAGGCAATTGGACTGAATGATTTTATGGGAACTGTCAAACTGTGTTTGTCTGACTCACTCACTAATTTAACTCAAGTGTGCAAGTTTAATTGCATTACCTTTATCCATAAATCACTTCAAGTGTGTCAGCAATTCTAGAAATGGAATTAATGTCCAAAAAAATAAATCACTTGGGCCTGTGTAAAACTTGCTTCCATTAAAAGCCTTCAGTTTTGGAGGGAAAGAGAAGAGAAGAGGGATATTATTTGATTTTAAAATGTTCCATTGCTCCAATTTAATTGACAGTATTATCTATGAGAGAAGAAATATTAAATTGAACATCCCCCCTATTGATACTCTTCACATAATAATCCTTTTTCAGAGGCACGATTGGGAGTGTTTTAACAAACTGCATCCCTGTTTGGTTTGGTGGCAGCAGTGCCTCTGACAGAAAGTTCCTACAGAGAGTGGGGAGGACAGCGGAGAAGATTATAGGAAGCTCTCTTCCCAGTATTCGGGATGCTGCTTATAAGTACTCTGTGCTTAGAGCTCAAAGCATTGTTAGAGACTCCGCACACCCACCCCACGGTATGTTACTGTTGCTCCCCTCTGGGGGGAGGTTTCAAAGTATTTCTGGCAGGACTATCAGATTCTGTAACAGCTTTGTTCCCTAGGCCATCCACCTGGTAAACTTGCAAGATTCGATTTTCTTGCCATGTACAAGTATACATCCGGACTAGATTGCATTGTTTCTCTCTGTCATAAAATATATGTGGGTATATGCATAATGTTGTATTTATTTATTGAGTTATGTTTATGTAGTGTATATCAAAGGTGGTGACCCTTTGAGAGCTGTGTGCAATGAAATTTCACTTTAATGTATGCCGATTAGTCCCAAAGGTGCTTTTTCAGGAGGTAACTGGACTTTCTTGTTTTTTCTTTTGAAGACATTTTGCTTCTCATCCAAGAAGTTTCTTCAGCTCTGACAGGATAGTGGGGAATGGGAGGATTTATATTCCTTGCAGACAGCTGGTCATTTGCATCCTTTTAGAGCAAGGGTCTTCAAACTTGGCAAGTTGAAGACTTGTGGACTTCAACTCCCAGAATTAATGAGCTAAAATGGCTGGAGGAGGAATTCTGGGAGTTGAAGTCCACAAGTCTTAAAGCTGTCAAGTTTGAAGGCCCCTATTTTAGAGGGTGATTGAAGCACTTGGAGGTTAATCTGTGTCCTCAGGGTCACCTGAGTAGCACAAATGGTTCATGTAGTCTGCGATTTTTCCTCTGGAAATCCATTGCTACTCCCACATGCTTCAGAGGGTCTTCATCCCAAATTATACTGCTAAAAGTCCATAGAGATTCTCAGTCATCCAGGTCATGGTTGTCCCAAAGGCGCTTTTCCAGGAAGCAACTGGACTTTCTTGTTTGTTTGTTTTTTTGTCTTGAAAAGAGAAAACAAGGAAGTCCTCTTGCCTCCTGAAAAAGCGCCTTTGGGACAACCACGACCTGAATGACTGAGAATCTCTACAGACTTTTTTGCCGATTAATGTACATTCAAAGTGACAATATAGTTATTATTCTAAGCCATGGCAGTGATCTCCTGCTAGAACCTCCAAACGAGCTCAAGATGTTGACCTCAGATAACTTACGAATGGTCTGATAATGAACTCCAATCAGACAAACGTAGTGCTGATTAATTGAATGCTTTAAACCGGGGGTCCCCAAACTTGGCAACTTTAAGACTTGTGGACTTCAACTTCTGGGAGTTGAAGTACACAAGACTTAAAGTTGCCAAGTTTGGAGACCTCTGCTTTAAATCATGGGCAACCTTCTTGTGAAGGTTCTGTAGGCATTTCCTAAGCTGCCCCTTGAACAAGAACCTGGTGTCTGTCCGGATCCAGAGGGGTAGCAGCAAAATGTGGGTCCGGGTTTAATCCCTGTGCTTGCCTCCTCCATGCAGAGACCCTTGGAAAAACCCGATGGACTGGATGTCTCGGATCAAAGCAAAGAACACCCTCAGCATCTCTGCGAGAAATGCAAAGTCCTGGGCTACTACTGCCGCCGTGTGCAATAAAGAAACCCACGGAGACTCCACAGATCTGGTGGCGGCAGCCAAAAGGGAAGGAGGAGGGACCGTCATCTAAGAACCTTCATCCGTCACCGATATTGCCTAACCTAATCATATGCCTTCCTTTTAACTGAATGTAACACTTCCCCTGTGTATGTATGGACATGCAACTTGTATCTGTAGGTCTATGTGGTGTGAGGCGTATTCCTTCCTTGAGGGTCTCACAAAACAAGCCATGTTTTCATATGGGTGGAGACCAACTGGCCGCTGGCTCTTGCTGGACTATACCCGCCATAAGTCACAATGGATTTGTACCACTACGGTGGTTTCCACTGATTGTTTACACAATTTCAGTATTCTACCCTAAGTGAACTAAGTGTTGTTTGTCCAGAGAGATCTTGTCAGGTCGGGAACATATGTTTGGATGAATTAAGAGGTGGGGTGGGATAGGATCAGGCAGGCATGACTCAAAATGCATTTTATGGGGGGAGTCTGTAAGTCTAAATCAGAGGTCTCCAAACAGTGGACTTCAACTCTCAGAATTCTCCAGCCAGCATAGCTCCCAGAATTCTGGGAGTTGAAGTCCACAAGTCTTAAAGTTGCCAAGTTTGGGGAGCCCTGGTCTAAATGCTATTGATAAATGCTTATTTTAGCTCATGCTGCCAACTAGAATTCTTTAAGACCTAAGTTTTTAAGAGGAATGAAGGATGTGATGCAAATATTCATGTTTGTTTCTTGGTTGGGGAGATGGTTTGGAAGTTCTACCAGCTTCCTTGCTTTCCAAGAGTGAAATCTCTAAAAAAAAAAAAAGCTATAAGGCCTGAGCTAGGAAAGAATTAAGGATGTGATGCAAATATTCATTTTTTCTTGACTGTGGGCGCGGTTTGGAAGTTTTACTAGCTTGCTTGCTTTCCAAGAGTCTTGCAGGGCCACCAAAGAGAGGCTTTGGGGGGAGCTTTAGGGTATTTTTTATAATCTGCGGGCTGAAAAGAACAAGTGAATAATTGTCTGATGAGTGGTTTTTATAGGAACGTGACAATGGTAGAACACATAGGGTGGAGCACAAATTTGTCTTTCTTATGTAGCAACTTTATGCATGTTTATGTCAATGCACAAAGGGAGGCTCAGCCAATCTCATTGTACACAGGTTGTACTCTGACAATAAATGTAATAATAATAATGGAGGTCCCACTAAAATCCAGAGACCTATTTCAGAACTAACTTGCATAAATGCACTTATTTTTAAAGGCTGTTTTTGTTTGCCCTAACTTCCCATGGTGTCTGTTACCCTCACCATTTTTTCTTTAGCTACCAATGGTGGCTAAATTTCCTATCCTCAGGCTGCATAACCAACATATGTAGCCAACAAGAGGAACATCATTTTATCTTCAACAGACAAAGACTGTCCGGATTCAGCTCCCCCTTCTCCACTTGGGTCTGCTTCTCTACCACCATTGATCCCAAACACATAATTTCAGGTGGAGTTTGGCCTGTTCCTCCATCAACAATTAATGGTGGAACCAGCCAGAGATTCATCTTGCTTTCATGCTACACTTTTCCACATGAATGTTCTTTCAATGGGTTGGACTGCACCCCCCATGTAATCCTTGGCCAACTAAGGCAAAGGAAAAGAAAGTTTGATACATTTAGAAAAGAAATACTGAGAAATCCTTCTCTCTCTCTCTCTCTCTCTCTCCCTCCCTCCCTCCCTCCCTCCCTCTCTCTCTCTCTTCAGCTACAGATTGCAATTTATTTCAGTCTTGCATGGTGCCATTACTTTTAGAACAACATCTAAAAGAAATATGTCTAGGATCAAGATTTAGTCTTGAGTTCAGAACACCCAGAAATTTGTTGTAGGAGTCTGTTTACAAACTTCTGTTGGTCCAGATTAACTAAATGGGTAATCTTCATAGGATTACACTGAACCCAGTAGAGGTGGCCAATTGATACCTTCAGCTGATGGTCTATTATGATGATTAAGACCTTTTCTTGATGGCTTCTCCATGGGAATCTATAATTTCAATTAGCTTTGAGTTTAGAACACCAGAAAAAGAGGATAGAGTTCACTTACTGACACATAATGCTGTATGATAGAACAACATTTCATTTGCATAATAAGATGCACTATAACAGGACAGAAGGAGAAGTGTCCACTTTGATCTTTCTCAATATTGGCTGGCAGTTGACCTCTGAAAAGGGTTTCCAGGGACCTGTGGAAGTTAAACTAAGAGTAATTTTTAATAACGTAGTTATTAAATGCACAACTGGAAAAATTATTCTTTTAACCATTTTTTAATTCTTAGTAAAGGTAAACCAAATCAGATCTAGTTCTTGGTTTACTTACAGAATAGAATAACAGAGCTGGAAGTGACTTTGGAGGTCATCTAGTCCAACTCCTTATCCATGTTTTACTGTTTCTAAAAAGCCAGAACTCGGCTGCCATTCATTGTCTAACTTTGGTTCCATGTCTGTCTTAGAAGGAAGCATCTTAATCCTGGTACTTCCTACTGCCAAGTTTCTGCCCTTGATATCAATCCAAGCAGATTTGCTAATCAAAATTATCTGGCAGGATTAGTAGAAATAAATTTCCCTGTGAATGAGGGGGAGGGATTAGTTTCAAGATCACTGACTGAAAAATATATCCATCTTCTGTATTAATTTTGCAATCCATTCAGAATGTATTCCATGAGTCCAAAATGAATTTCAATAACTGGAATCAGGCTACGGCATAACGAAATTGACGAAAGTCAAGGGGGTTTGAATACGTACTGAATGCACTGCAGAAAGTAGTTGTTCTGTCTAAATGTACTCATTTTCAGTGAAGTAATAGCTGCTATGTCTAGATAAAGTAAGGGTTTTTTATGATTGTTCAAAGATATTATCCTTATGTACATCTTCTCTATACTTCAAACAGACTCCAGCAATTCGATTAAGCAAGAGAATTTTGAAGCTTTATAACAAAACCAATCTATTACTGGAACTGCCCTGAATAATAGTTGAGCTTTTTTAAAAATGTTACCTTCATTTAAAATGCTATTAAAACAGCGGTTGAAGCATTCTAGGTATCCCCCATTTCTATAGAAACCTAGTGTTCAGGCACAAAGAATCTGGACCATAATGTTAAATTGAAACCAAGAAGATTGCTCAGGCCTATGGACAAGAATCTAGTCAACACTAAATTGGTGCTAGATAAGTCAATGGAAGAAGGATTAGACATTGTGGGAGCATAAAGACTTTAGGCTAATGACTCGCTTAACTCCTCCCTCTGGCCCTGCCGGCTCTTCTACAGTTTGAGGTAGATTAGGAATTCAGATCAGGGCAATATTGAACAGGTTAAGTTACGTTATACAAAATCAACTCGAGACCACTGCCAGATCATCAAGGAGAGTGATACCATGTTCTGTACTGCAGATGGCAATTAAACAGAGGTTCTTTGCATCTGGAAAAGTTTCCAGATACTTGTAGGACCCCTTAGGACCTTAGAGAACTGGACCTGCCTGATTTTGCCCAACCACAAGAGCTCAGCAATGTAAGGATTACAGGGTAAGGGTCTACAAGGCAGGGAGATATTTGACCGTTCTTGCTGCTCCTGTCTAGCTATTCTTGGCCTCTTTCTATAAATTCCAAGTCAACCCACACCTTTCTGCCATAGAACTTAAGGAGCAGTGTCCAAATGTTGCCAACACCCAGAATTATTTTCCAGATGTACATGGAACACATATGCCTTACAGTTTCTCATGAACAACTACTTCTTTTTCAAATCAGTGGGAAATTCCTGTATCTTAATACAAACAGTTGCATCATCTTCTATAGGAATGGAGTAAACTTCCTAATTTAGAAAAGTTGCTAAATCTGTTTAGGCTTCCATGGAAACCAGGGTAACTAAAGTGCATCTCTTTATGGGGAGGGGGGTATTATGAACCTGATGAATCTGCCTTAAGCCATAGGTAGAAAGCTATTTTTTTTAATAGCTTCAAGGAAATTTTCTTGACACCGTTAGGTAATATTCCATTAGCAGTTTGGTCATTGTTTGTATTGAATCCAATGGCTGTATGGAAGCTACTCCTTTAAATCCCGTTATTGTCAGTGGGTTTATTATAAAAAATGAATAGGTGTAGATGAATCCACGATTAGACCATTTCTGGATCAGTTCTTGTTTACATAGCAACTCCTCTGAATTAATAAAGCTGAAAGCTTTCCTCTGCATTGTTTACATGATTAAAGACTCAATTAATTGAGTCCAGAAAAAGAAAATAAAGATTAATGGTATTGTAACATGTTTTAAGAAAAAGATATAAACCAGAGAATCTGGCTAATTAGACTCCTGAAGTCACATTAGCCTTTCTAGCATTGTGTCATTATCCAGAGCAGGAAGAATTGAGTGATGACTTTTGAAGACTTGAACTTTAGTGTTAAAGTTCGTTTTTCTTTATAAGTAGGAGCAAGCATTGAATAATAGGAGAAATACAATACAAGTAGCCTTATATTATACCAGCTGCAGGTTTTGTTATTGTTGTTATTGTTGTTGTTTGAGCACTTATAAAATATTAACCAAAACCTTTCTAGTTGTTGTCATACCTGCCTACATAAAATTCCCCCAAAGTATACTAGGAGAACAAAATGTAAATAAGGTTATTGTGTTTTTTTTTCAACTGGTGTTAAAAATGAAGGCCAGCAGAGCACAATTCATTTTAAATAGCTGGCGGTTGTTCTTAATTATCTTAACAGAATTATGAATTTGGAAGGGACTGTGGAGGCCTTCTAGCCCAACCCCTGCTCAAGCAGGAGATCCCAGCCTAAGCCATTTCATGTAGGTTTAACACCTTATGCTCAAAAGATATCTTCTGGAGAGTATTCTGCAATTTGATTAAGGTTAGTGGCAGGCAGAACTCAGAGTGTAAGTTTTGTGTGCGCGAGACTCCAGGAAACACCCTGATTTTAAAGCCAGCTGAGAAAAGAATCGATAGCAAGAATTAATAGCAGTGCTATTGATGAAACAAACCAATTGTGTATGGTATGATTTTGAGTATCTGTTGAGATTGCCTCTAAAAGGGTTGGTTTTTAAACCGGATTGTGAAGATTTTCATTCAGGGGCTGCAAATGACCTGCATGGATGAGAGGGGCAGTGATGTCCTATATGCCTTATATTGAATTCCTCTATCAGCCTTGCGACACTGCAATTCTGCAAAGAGTAGATTCTAATTTGGCCTTCTAAGAATGCTTCATGCCACATCGTCTTGTAAGATAGGGGTCCCCGACCCCAGGGGGATGCGAACCTGGCCTGGGCCGCAACATGCCAGAAACCAGGCCATGCAAACAAGCTAAGCCCCATCTGTGGTGGGTTTCCAATTTTTTTTTCCTACCAGTTCTGAGAGCATGCAGAGCTCAAAGACTGCCCTCTATATCAATGCCGGTGAGCTGTGCTGTTTTCAGCTCAGCTGAGGCGCAGCAATCCACTCTGCCCCGCGAATCAGCTGAGCTAAAAAACAAGGAGAGGTAACAATGGGGGCAGGTAGTCGAGGCCAGCCAGAGGTGGTATTTGCCAGTTCTCCAAACGACTCAAAATTTCCACTACCGGTATGCCAGAACCGGTCCGAACCAGCTGAATACCGCCTCTGGGCAGCACGCAAAACTGTGTCACCTCTGGTCCATGGGAAAACCTCTCTCCACGGAACTGGTCCCTGGTGCCCCAAAGGGTTAGGGGCCGCTGTTGTAAGACATGACTTTATACCTAGCCAAAATTTCAGTGCTCTTTCCTTTCACGTCTGCAAAAAACCACTGCCTCTAGAAATATTTCTGTGTGATTGTAGCACTGATTGAGCCTATTAGGGTAACTGAACAAAATGAAGGCTTGTGTTTTCTTAGGATAATTGTCAAAGGGACAATCGTGTGCAGTTAATACATGTAGTCCATGGATATTAATGTTTACTCTCCCTTGTTATGAAATATTTTACAGTTTTACTTGCCGAAGTGTATTTATCTTGAGTTATACTTGACATAGTGTTCCTCTCCATTTTTTTTAATACTGTGTGTGTGTGTGTATTTTGGAGAACTTTTTAGATGTTTAAAATTTTTGAATGGTTACAAATATTTCTTTGTAATACTGAATTGTTATTGGAAGACTTTGCAGTAACCTTTCTGTATATATTTGAGGGTCTTTTAAAATTACTATTGTCAGTTTTGCTCGAGGCTTTTTAAAAGTGTTTTTACAACTCTGAAGCTTCCAGAAAGGGTCTTAGTTTTCTATACTATGATACTAACCGAGCTAAGAGTTTTCTTAAGTATTATACAAAATTAAGGGTGTATCCTCAAGAAAATATTTATGGAAGGAATTTGTTATTTTTTTTTCTTTTTCTTTTTTACAGTGCCTTTGTCTGTATAAAATATGCAACCGAGCTACATTAAGAAGGAAATATTGTCTACATAGAATATTATATGAAAGTTGATACATAATTCTGACAAGAAAATGAAGCCTTACCATTCTTTTAAGCCATATTGTTCTTCTTACTGCTTATATTTGGATGAAAATATCAGTATTAAGTAACCAGTGTATTATTTGGGTGTTTAGAACTTATATTCATATGCTTATTCAACTTATTTATATGTGTATTATGGAAAGTATTATTGCCTTTTTAGAAAAGCTAGGACTGATTTTGTAAGAATCAGGTTTTGGAGTTACTTTTTTCTACTTAATGGCCTTGAGAGAAACACACTAACAATTCAGACCTAAGACATACATTTGGGCTGGGCCTAATGACTGCCACATCTGCCCATTGTCAGCAGAAACTCTAGTGCATCGATAAAAACTGAAGCACAAATGCTCTTTGGATATTTTTCACACATTCCACTTAAATGCACACCTGAGATCTTTCTGTTAAAAAAAAAACCAAAATCTTCATTTCTGTTAGAAATTTTGTTTATATATAGCACCACAGAGTAGTAAAGCACTGTCACCATGTGCTTTATTGCTTAACTGCTCAACTGTATCAGGAAATAGGAAACTTACTTAGAGCATAGAAAACATAGCATAGATCCAAACTTATAAACACTGCCATCTACTGGCTGCATACTACTTTAGTTGTTGCATAGACATACATTCCAACAATGAATTCCAACAAATTCCATAGCTGAAGGGTTGTATTTCAGAAAGTAAAAAGCACATACATGAACCAGATTGGTCTGCTAGACAGTTTAGCGCCATTCTTTGTGGCATGCACTCTCTCTCTCTATATATATACATCTCTTGGAGAATTCCAAGTGTCTTCTTGTGTAAAGTGTGAAATGATCCAAAGAGTTGCTGTTTCATAAATACCATAGTATGGTTGGATGTGTTTATTTTTTTACACTGCATCTTAGAGGTGAGCAGGGTAAGTCTTGCCCTACCCAGCGATGCTGAAAACTGTTCAAGAAACATATCATTGAGGTCTGGAAAGCAATAACACTGGCATTAAAGCAATGCACGTGGTCATCGGCTGTAACTGAGAAAGGGTTGCAGTGATATAAGCATTTTGTGATTATTATTATTTAGAATGCATAACGTGATACAATATGCATGCTAGACTCATGTATATTATATGCATCTTATTCTTTATGATTTCCCATAGTTCTGTTATATTAAGATTATTTGTTTTAAACCCTGTTTAAAGCGAGCTCATACCTGCACTGAGCTCTTAATGTCTCTTACAAAAGTTATTTAGAGCAGCAAACTACAATATATGAAACTAATGTTGTCATTATATTAATTTCTGCCAATTTCAATTTGTTTAATTACTTACTTAAAAGAAAAACAAATTCTAGCTGTACTCATTTGAGTTCTCAGTTGTATAATTTTTCTCTTCTTTAACCGGTCATTAACTTGTACAGCTTTTTTTTTTTAATGAAGAAAATAATAACTTTTCTATGGACATGGGCCTCAGAGAAGACAGGCTTAGCTCAGCCACCAAAGTGACAACTGACTATATAAAAAAGGGTTGCGGAAAAGACTGTCGAAATTCTGCTGTGGATTGTCCATAAAATGGCATTCCGACATGTGCCTTAATTGCTGGATAGTATTACCTTGTCTTTAGTGTTATGACAGTTTAATGCTGTATTAAAATACTGCAAACAAACCAGGAATACCACTGTCTTCTCTGCTTTCTTTCTTTGGAACCTTGCGTGGGTTTTAGGTTGTGCTGAACCTGGAATTGAATTTGGGAATCCTAGAAGGAGAAACCATGAAATCCAGACGTGGAATAGGAGACTGGAGCATAGGTACTATGAGTCCCCCAAAATAAGACAGGGTCTTGTATTGATTTTTGCTTCAAAAGACACATTATGGCTTATTTTCCAGTTAGGTCTTATTTGGGGGGGGGGGAATACATGTCTAAATGTGTCTGTGGCTAAAAATCTTAACGGGGGCTTATTTTGGGGGGTAGGGCTTATAAAGTTCTTAAGTGAGTTTTCCCCTTTTTATAATCTTTCTTGCCACAGTTGTGAAGCGAACCACTCCAGTTTAAGTTCATAACACAGCCGCTAAGTGAATTGGGTTTCCCATTGACGTTGTTTGTCAGAAAG